CAACTCAGGGCTTGTTTTGGGGGCTTTGAGGGGAGGGAGGGACCCAGTTGTTAAACATTTACTATACCACAACTGTTTTCCCTAAATTACCTACACTTCCTCTCCTGTGAGACCTAGCTTCCTTTTCTTTCTACCAAAAATTCCATGTAATCACCTAGAATTTCTATTCCATGATCAAAAATCACCTAGAAGCTCATCATTTCATGTGTTATTCCCTATACCTCCTGCAGGACATACTACATAATACGCAGGATACAGTGCAAAATGAAAATGTGGGGTCCCTTATTGAAAAACTATTAAGAATTTCAAGACAATGACAGCAATGCATCAAACAGAGAACAGGGCCTAAGTGTGTGGTCTTGTACAACTGCACAGGTCACATGCCCATAAAAGGGTCCTTGAGCACCTATTCTTAACTGTGAGCATGCCCTTCCCTAAGGATACTATTTCCCATGTATCTCTGCAATGCAAGGGCTCCTTACTCTCCCATATGTCACAACTGAAGGCAGGTTAGTATTTTATTTGCTCCCCTTCCCAATGCCCTTTGCAGACCATTACCCTTCTATCTTTTTTGTAAAACCTCTCTCCTCTGCCATCTTGCTGCAATTCAACCCTTACCATACTGTCCTCTCCCAAATGCCTCACTACTCCTTCTGTTTTTCTGAGGGCTTTGACATTTGGCTCTCGAAATTCCTCTTTACTGCCTAAACAGTAACAGGGTTAAGAGGACAGACTCTGGATAGAATCAGAGTGCCTGGGTTCAAATCCTGGTACTACCATATACAAGCTATATTGCCTTGACCATGTTCCTTAACCTCTCTCTTCCTGAGTTTCCTCGTTTATAAAATAGAGATGGTTAATAGTACTTCATAGGAGTTGTTGTATGGATTAAAAGAGTTAAAAATACATCAAGGGTTCAGAATGGTATCTGGTACACAGTAAGTGCTCACTCAGGAAACAGTAGCTATTGCTATCATCATCATCATCATCATCATCATAAAAGTCTATCTCAGTGTCTATATGGATAACTCATGTAACATGTATTTTGAGCTTCCTGAGTTCTTTGAGCTCCTTGTCTACTCTACCCCAGCAACTCTCTTCCACAACTATACCCTAGATATTGTAGTTGCCAGAACTTCTCCACCTCCAATAACTTAGATTCAAATATCCCATCCTTGGGGTACTTGGGTGGCTCAGTCAAACGGCCAACTCAATTTCGGCGCAGGTCATGATCTCATAGTCATGGGATCAAGCCCCAGGTTGGGATCAAGCCCTGCACTGGGCTCTGCAATGAGCATGGCACCTGCTTCGGATTTTCTCTCCCTCTCTGTCCATCTCCTGCTTGTTCCCTCCCCCCCCCCAATCAAAATAAATAATCTTACAAATATATGCCATCCTCTGATGACTACCTCCAGTTTTACAGGACACACACTTAGTTGTGCCTCCTGTGTCTGTCTCTCATCATGGAAAACTCTAAATGCCAAACTCCTCTATCATATCTCTGTCAGTTAGCCCCTCTTATATTTATTTGCCTCTTTTTCTATCTTCCTAATCCACTCTCTTGACAATAACCTCGACTTCCACATCCCTATTTCCTTCTATGCAAGATTGGCAAAGTTCCAATCTTGGGTAAATCAACCTATCAAACTGCCTTTTCTTGACAGGGTTGCTGAGAGCTGCTGAGGAGACTCACACACCTGCAGACGTCAGTACCACTGTTATAAATTCGTAGTCTCCATGTTCAGTGCTACCAGCAGTCTATTTCCTTACTGCTTGGCCTTCTCCCAGCCTTCCTAATGGCTGTTTCAGACCTTTACCACTCTCTCCAAACCTCTGATTTTCCTGCCTACTACCTACCTATGCCCATTCCACCTACCTCTGCTTCTACTCTCAGCAAATAATCTACCCCACTTCAGAAAAACAGGCATGAGATTAGAACTACCACAATTTCCTTCTATTGAACCTACAAACCCACCTTTGCTACACCTATATTCACCTATTTCTTCCTTCCTATCATCATGAAGGAGATATCTCCTCCTGCTTAAGGCTAATCTTGGTCCTCTGTGCTCAGGATTCAAACGCACTCACCCTATAAGACACTAGTTCTCAATGTGCGTTTCTCAGACCAGCAGCATTGGCCTCTCCAGAACTTGTCACAAATGCAAATTCTCAGGCCTCACTCTAGACCTACTAAATCACAAACTCTGGAATTAGGGCCAAACTGTTTTCAACAAGGCCTCTAGGTGATTCTGATGTATGCTAAGGTTTGTGAACCACCGCTTTATGGAATTATTTGTTGTTTATTCCCTTTCCTGTATTTTCAACCTTTCTCTAGTACAATGGTTCCCTTGCCTTGAAGAGCCTATGAGATTGCTTGCTCCAAGTACATTCTTGCCTCTCTCCAATCTATTCACCACACAGCAACACATCTGATCAAGTTATCCCCTACTTAAAATTCCTTAAATTTTTTTTAATGTTTATTTATTTTTGAGAGAGAGAGAGAGAGAGAGAGAGCATGAGCATGAGCAGAAGAGGAGCAGAGAGAGAGGAAGACACAGAATCCAAAGCAGGCTCTAGGCTCTGAGCTGTCAGCACAGAGCCCGATGCGGGGCCTGAACTCACGAACTGTGAGATTCATGACGTAAGCCTAAGTTGGCCGCTTAACCGACTGAGCCACCCAGGTGCCCCTCCCCTACTTAAAATTCTTTAATGACTTCTCACTGACCTGAAGATAAAGACCAAAATCTTAAGAAGGCCTTAAGGCTCTCCACAGCTCACAACCCTCCTTTTTCACCTTTGGCTTTCTACATGGAACAAGACCAGCCTCTCTCAACTTCTTGATCTTGCCACGCTCTAGGGCACCTAACAAACTTTGAAATTGTTAGCTCTCTGCCTGAAATACTTTGCTTCTTTTCCAAACTCCTTCTACATCAAGTCTCAACTTAAACTTTCTTTACTTAAAGTACCTAACCATATCCCTTAGTCTCAATTAGGTCCCTGTTAGATGCTCTTCCAGCACTCTGCACTTACCCTCTTAAACCCATATTAAGCTTATAATTATTTAAGTATTATAAACATAATGTCTGTTTTCCTTGCCAGAGCATAAGCTCTGTTGGGGGAGAAATCCTGTCTATCTCACTTACTATAATATCCCCAGTGCCTAGCTTAGTATAATACCTTGCACACAGGAAATGTGCAAAAAGTATTTGCCAAATGACTGAGCCTTTGCATGCACTGTGTCTCTGTCCCCAGTGAAATCCTACACATCCTTCAAGGAATATATTAAAGATGGTTACCAGAGGGGAGGTGGGTGGGGGGCATAGGTGAAATAGGTGAGCAGGATTAAGAGTATACTTATCTTGATGAGCACTGGATAATATATGGAACTGTTGAATCACTACATTGTACACCTGAAACTACTATAACACTGTATGTTAACCACACCGGAATTAACATTTTTAAAAAGAGGATTATAATCTAGTGTAGGTAATAAATGCTTAAAGAGAAAAGAGAAATAAAATAAACATTTCTGGGGCACCTGAGTGGCTCAGTCAGTTAAGCGTCCAACTTCAGCTCAGGAAATGATCTCACAGTTCATGGGTTTAAGCCCCAAGTCGGGCTTTGTACAGACAGAGCCTGGAGCCTGCTTCAGATTCTGTGTCTCCCTCTCTCTCTGCCCCTCCCCCACTCATGTGCACGCGCGCGTGCGCGTGCTCTCTCAAAAATAACAAAAAATGTTTTTAATTAAAAATAATAATAATAAATTAAACATTTCTGTGAAGTCTTCCCTGCATATACATACCACCTGCCTGTTCAAATGAGTCACTTCCTCTTTTCTGTTCCTACTGTATTGTATATATAACTCTACTAATGCAATAGTTACACACTATTATAAATACCCAACCTTTGTGTCTGAGTCTCCACTACACTGTAAACTCCCTGAGGGCATGGACCACATCTTGCTCACTTTCTATCTCTAGTGCTTAGTAAAGTATCTGACATTAACAACAGATGTCTAATGTTTACGGGGCATATTAAACCTAAGACTGTATCTCTAATATTGCACTGAAAGGTTTTTTCCTAATATTAAATCTGCATTCCAATCCTAGGTTTGTTATTCATTAGCTACATAATCAAACTGTTTAACCTCTTTGGGCCCCAGTTTCCTCACTGGTAAAACAGGGCTAATAATACCAATTTGGGAATATTGCTATGAAAATCAAACAAAATGACATTGTACGACAATTAGCACACATAGTGCCTGGCATGTAGTAGCTTCCCCACTCTGGCTTCAACTTGGTAGAAACAACTAGGACAAAACAAATACAAAAATAAGTCACAGCAATCAAGGGAGGCTGAGCACAGAGTGAGTCATTCCTTTTAATCATTTGCCCAGGAAGATCAACAATGAAGAAACATAACAAGCAGAATAAACTCTACTGGTGGTATCTCCCTTGGCATACAAAGCTTGGTAAGAAGTCACCCCAGAAACCTCTTGGCTAATGGCCAGCTCTGGCTCCCCAGCTCAGTAAGTCGGGTCTTAGTCTGTGGTGCCAGGAATGGCACTTCAGACTGGAATACAAACTACCCCATAAGGAAATGTATTTGTACGTGGGAGATGGGGAAGAGGGAGGACAGCTTGAATGCAACTATGTCAATCAAGTGTTTTGCAACCTGGCAGAAAATACTGCAGAATTGTTGGTGAAAACGGACACCACACAACTGCACTTACCTGTAGCCAAGAACCAGCTTAGACTAGATAATGAGCAGATTTCTGCTGTTACCAAAACAATGGTCAGACTTGTAATGCAGTGAACATCTCTAAGGTCCAACTATGCTTGTAACATCTGGGCTGCACCCACAAAGATGACACCAAGCAGCTTTATACATATATTCCTCAGCATAGGGTGCTTCCCACAAGCACCAGCTTCACTGCTCATGTGTGCCAAATGGAAAGCAGATTTAACAGTTTCTCTGCTCCTTATTCATAATATGCTTACCTCTGCAGAACCACTGGTATTCAGATCACCTACTTCCTTGGAGTCATTCATTTCAGAATGCTGTGTCACTGTATGTGTAGCTACTTCTTCACTGGGACTATCTCTCTTCCGAAGCTTCCTGATTAAGCTCTGCTGGTCACTAGAAGATACAGTGGGTCTGAGTGGAGCTCTGGGTGGATTCTGTCTCCTCCAAGATACCCTGCTCCAACCTAGCCCCAGAATATGTGGTTCATCTTCTTCAGGTGGATAGCCCAAACCATCTGCAGTTTGGAATTTTTTAAAAAACACCAGCATGGAATTGGAAGAGTCTGTCCTGAAAGTCTGGCAGCTCTGGGGCCTGCTGCAGTCTGCCTGAATGCACATCCCTTCTAACCACCAAAAGGCATGGCAGGCAGAATCCTGGCAGCAAGCAGCCCAACACAACTGGAGAGAGGGGGTTCCTTCAAGAAGCCGGAGATGATTTTCTCCCCCAGATCTCAGGCCAACTCCAAATTCTGTCTTCTCATGCTGGCACCTGCTCTCACTGGCATCTAAAAACAAGGAATGAAAACATTTTAAGAGGTAATAAAAACACACTACTGATCTGTAAAGTGCCCTGAACACCAACATTTAAGGCTATTTTGAATACTGGTTTTTAAGAAGGTGGGAAAGCTGTCTAGTAAGTGGAACAGAAGAAGCAAAATAGAGTGTTTTTTGGCTCAGGATACTTTAGCTACTGTTCCACATTCATCGGTGGTTCCCCTTCTCAATGAGTCCCTTCCACATAGACCTTTCATACAGAATTCCAGTTCATGAAAAAAGCAAGACAAACAAAATAGTTATTCTGGTGGAAGTGTATGGAGGGGTGGAAGGGGCAGAGTCCCACCACTTGACCTTCCACTCATGTCCTGGCCTTTCTCAGGGACAGTGCAAGCACTATGGGACCAGAAGAACAGGTAGTGGAACAGGATGGAATAGTCCCCCCACCCCCACCCCCACCCACTGAACTGGCAGCAACACAAACGGAGTATTCTTCACCTCCAACAGGTTACAGGTTCATCCATTTTCTAACCAACTGTTTGCCAGAGTCAGGTGGTTTTGCATATCATGGTATCAACCAGAGCTGATCAGTAGTCAGATTACCAAAAAGTTTAATCATGAGAGGTATTCTGCTAGAATGAACTTCCTACTGACAAGCCATGTCATGATAAGAAACAAAGGAACAGAAGTACAACAGTGACCTAGTGTGGTTAACATAAATAACATGGTTCAAAATTCTGGTTACTGTTGCTTATGGATAAACTTTTGGGCTACTGAATTACTTTAGGCATGGCATTAATTCTCCTGAAATATTACCTCACTTCTGTTTTATTAGATGAAGTAAAGTCAAAGCATGTTCTAAATGAAAGCTATTATACAGAGCTCATTTTAAGGTCTTAGTTATATAGGTATCTGTACTCAACTATGGTCAGGGTTATACAGGGCCAGAACCAGGGTGAGGCAAGATCGATGCCTCAGGCACAAAATTTAAGAAGGAATATATTCTCAGAGTCATGTAAGTACAGAGTTGGCTTACCCAACCTTGAGAGTGAGCACCTCCTTCAATTTTGTGCCTTATGTGTTTCTTTCTTCACCCTAGCTCTGGCCCTGGGGTTAGAACACAAAATATCTTGAAATTACACACAGAAAATATGCAGTAGAACCAAAACACTGAAGAGATGGATAATCATGTCTGCACATACACATAACTGAAAAAGGGCTATGACTAACCAGAGCAACAATGGAATAATCAGCCAAAGTCAGGGCACCTGGGTGGCTCAGTCGGTTAAGCAGCCGACTCTTGGTTTCAGCTCAAGTCATGATTTTACGGTTCGTGGGTTTGAGCCCCATGCTGGGCTCCGCGCTGAAGGTGCGGGGCCTGCTTGGGATTCTCTCTCTCCCTCTCTCTCTCTGCACTTCCCCTGCTTGTCTCTGTCTCTCTCAAAATAAATAAATAAACTTAAAAAAAAAAAGAAGAAGAAGAATCAGCCAAAGCCAACTTGACTCCCAGGAAATACTTACAAAACGTCCAGCAGACTAAATGTGAACGCCAGTCAACTGAGAGATATAAGGAAAATAAAGGCAAGCTTCTGGATGACTGAGCAGGCGCTATGGAAGCCAATCTGCCATTGTTCATTAAAAGAAAAGAGACAGACATTGGCACGAACCTAACATCAGACAAGGCAATTTAGAAACCTAGAAAAAATAGAACTTCCTTAAGAAAAATGAAGAAATAGCAACTATGAAAAAAATGAAGCTACCAAGAGCTACAGAAATACCCCTCATATCCTCATCCACCTTCCCACACAGTAACCAATGGTATGAATCTTGGTTAACAGCGAAGTACACAGACTGTGTTGAAATCAATAAATTGTTACCTCAGTAACCACTGTCAGTCACCTTTATATCAACTTTCCGTCATTCTTCCCAGAGTAATTCTCTCATATTTAACATAGTGAAGAGGTCCACACAGATGAAAATAACCTACACTTTTCTATAAGCCACTATTTCATTTAATTTTTAATATGTACCGTGACCTCCACTTTTGCTCCTGCAGGAGAAACTGCCATAGGACTTGCCCTCCCACCATGAGTAGCTAGAACGCTAGACAAAATATATGGAACAATTGTTTTTAGACCATGAACAACAGGTATGTGATCCCAGAGAGAAAGGAAACAAACAAGGTGAGCCCTCTGACCACCAGGGCTTTCCGTACAGCATCATGCTCCAGATGGTGGCACAGGGAAGGAGAGAGCCCAAGCAGACTAGGGCAGACTTGCTGCACTGAGGAAACAGAGTTTGAGGTGACTGTGATAGCAAGAATTTTGGAACAAACAACCAGAAAGGAAGAAGCTACACAGATAAAGAGCTCCCGACAACTGGATAATGGTCCCTTTTCATCTTTGACTGACCACTAATTTACCCCAAGTGTAGGTTGAGATCACATGAGGGAAATTAGAATATATTTTGAACTGAATGAAAATGAAAACATAACATATAAAAATTCATGGGATGCAGTTAATGTGGCATTTAGAGGGAGCATTTACAGTTTTAAATGCTTATTTAGAAAATAAGAAAAATCTAAAATCGATAATCTAGAGAGACACACAAGGAGAAGGCCATGTGATGACAGAGGCAGAGACTGGAGAGATACAGCTACAAACCAAGGAACACCAATGACTGGCAGTGACCACTAGAAGCTAAGAAGAGTTGAGGAAGGGCTCTATGCAGAGACTCAGAAGGAACCAACCCTTGATTTTGGACTTCTAGACTCCAGAACCATTGGTTTATCAGGATTTTCTGAAGAGCAGGTAAGGAGACAAAGGGCTCCCAAGCTACATTTACACATGTGGCTGTGACCTTTACCCACACTGAACAGAGACACCTGGATGCCATTCAGTGGATACGTACAGGGATGTGATGCTGGAAAACTATGGGAATCTGGTGTCCAAGGGGCTTCTTTTTCAAACCAAAATTAATCACCCACTGGAGCAAGGGGTAGAGCCCTGGATAGAGGTGTGAAAAATTCTGCCAGGTGCCTGTACAGTCCAGGAGTACTGATTTGAAACAAAGATATCAGTCCTAAAGCAAAACGTTTCTGAAGGATCGTCTCTAGAAGAGTGAACATACAGTGTCATGATTGATAAAGGCCTGGAATGGGAGCACAGAAGCTCCAAAGAGATGTGGCACGGTAATGTGGGAAAGTCTTTAAATATAATTCTTCCGTTATCAGTCACCAGAAATGTTACACAGGTGAGATAACCCATTAATGTAAAGAATGTGGGATAGTGGGGCACCTGGGTGGCTCAGTCTGATTAAGCGTCCGACTCTTGATTTCGGCTCAGGTCATGATCTTGTGGTTCATGAGTTTGAGACCCACATTGGGCTCTGCGCTGTCGGCGGTGTAGAGCCTGCTTGGGATTCTCTCTCTCCCCTCTTTGCTCTTCCCCCACTCACGTTCTCTCTCTCAAAATAAATAAATAAAGTTAAAAAAAAGAATATGGGATAGCCTTTATGAACAACTCATCTCATTTCCTTTAAGATTTTGTTTTAAAGTTTATTTATTTATTTTGAGACAGAGAGGGTGCACAAGTGGGGAAGGAGCCGAGAGAGAGGGAGAGAGAGAATCCGAAGCATGCTCTGCACTGTCAGTATAGAGCCCGAGGCAGGGCTTGATCTCATGAACCATGAGATCATGATCTGAGCAAAAATCAAAAGTCGGACGCTCAACTGACTGAATCAGGTGTCCCAGCTCATTTCCTTTAAATGATCATAAAATTCACATGAACAAGTAACCTTATCCTCAAGAAGGACTCAACAATTATCAATTGTCAGAGAATCCATTCTAGAGAGAAACCCCATAAATGCAATGAATGTAGAAAAGCTTTCAAAATGAACTTTATCCTTTTAAAGTCATCAGAGAATTCATACCAGTCAGAAACCCTACACATGAAAAGACTGTGGAAAAAGCCTTTGCTTAGAACCCAGGCCTTACTCATCATGAGAATGCATAGTGGAGAAAAGCCTTTTAAATGCGATGAAAAGCTTTCAGGGATAACTTAACTGTGTGGCACATCAGAAAATCTATACTGGTAAGAAACCACATTGCTGTAATGAATGTGGAGAAGCCTTTAGGAAGAGCTCAACCCTTATTAGTCATCAACGAATACATACAAGAGAGAAACCCTATCACTGAAATAAATGGGGAAAATCTTTCAGGTATATATCCTTTGCTGGACATCAGAAAACTCACAGTGAAAAGAAACTCTACTTGGGGCGCCTGGGTGGCGCAGTCGGTTAAGCATCCGACTTCAGCCAGGTCACGATCTCGCGGTCCGTGAGTTCGAGCCCCGCGTCGGGCTCTGGGCTGATGGCTCAGAGCCTGGAGCCTGTTTCCGATTCTGTGTCTCTCTCGGACCCTCCCCCGTTCATGCTCTGTCTCTCTCTGTCCCAAAAATAAATAAACGTTGAAAAAAAAAATTTAAAAAAAAAAAAAAAAGAAAAGAAACTCTACTGGTGTAATGACTGTGTGAAAGTCTTCATGAAGAACTTATTGGATATGAGAATTCATACTGAACAAAAAGCCTATTACTGCAAGAAATATGGGAAAGCTTTCAGACACAGCTCAGGCCTTGCTGAACATCAGAGAATCTATATGGAGGAAAACCTCAGGAATGTAATGAAAGTAGGAAGACTTTCCCCAAAGTTCAGCCCTTAAACAACATAAGAAAATTCATAACAAAGACAGAGCCACCAATTGTAGTTAGTGTGGTAATTCACATCGAGTTAATTCCTTCTGAGCATCAAAGGGGAGACATTCAATAAATTACACATGTAACAAAAATACTCTGTGCACGTCTATCCTGAAGAACTTCTCACATGTGACAATTTCATTACAGCATAGTTTGTACAGGTGAAATATATGAAAAATCTACATGTCTATCAACACAGATACAGTTACTCTAGAATGCTATGCAGCAACTGAAAACAATGAGGTAGAATCTATATACAG